CCAATGAGGACCTTCACAAGTTCAACCTAGACAATGAAGAAATAGAAAAAGTGAAAGAATGTCATAATTGAGATCAAACATTGATAGAAATGGGGACTGCAGTCAGAAAATCAGAAGATTAAGAATGGGGAGGACAACCATAAAAGAACTAGAAGAGATTCTAAAATGCAAAGATATACAACTCGGCACAAAAGTTAGAATCATACAAGCCATTGTATTCCCCATTATGCATGGATGTGAGAGCTAGACAGTTAAGAAAGGTGATAGGGGGAAAAAATCAATGCATTTGAGATGGAGAAGAGTGCTGAGGATTCCATGGACAGTAAAAAAAAAAAAAAAGGTCCGAGAGCAGATCAAACCGGAAACCTCCCTGGAAGCCAAGATGACCAAACTGAGCCTGTTGTATTTTAGGCATTAGAAAAGACAATAATGCTGGGAAAGGTGGAGGGAAGAAGGAAGAGAGGAAGACCACATGCCAAATGGATGGACTTTATTAAGGAGGTTATGGGTATGGATTTGCAGGAATTAAGCAGAGCAGTGAAGGACAAGGGGTCTTGGAGATGTTTCATACATAGGGTCACCATCGGTCGAGATCGACTTGAGGGCAGTTAATAACTACAAACAAAATAAAGACTACTGCTAGACTGTTGTAATCAGTTCTTAAGGTAAATCTATATTTATTTAGTTGTTCTACATTCAGTGCCTGTTACAGTAGATGCTAGGTAGCTATAAACTACTGTCAATAGTGGTGATTTTTAAATAAAATATTATAATGATATCTGATTAAAATATATTGTCATCAATCTATATAGCTAACTGTATTTTATCTAAAGATGAATTTACTTATGTATCCTCTCTGCTGAATAAATTCTATCTCATAAACATAATTCCACCTGTCCAGGGTCCTTATCCAACTATTTCTAGCAATATGCCAACTCACCATAGTGACACACCATCTGTCATATTACTGATCCAGCTTCTTGCACATAGAATAGAACTAAAAATCATTCCAGGATCCATCCAGCTCTTATATGTGCTGCCTATCCTTTGTTTGCAATATGTTATTCATTTACCTGACAGTTAGCTCTATTATATTCAGTGGGATTTCCTTCTGCGTTTAAATCAATAGCCTATTCAACATTACTGATTATTTTTGTATGGTATTCCAAGGCAAACAAAAATATGAATAATACTATTTGCTAAACAATAATTGCAATGGAATATGTTAATCTGGCTTTTGAAACATTTGTCATTTTACTTAGTAGAACAAGAGTTCACCAGATATACTTGAAATAGATAAATAGCAATATATAATTAGATACAGTGCTATCTTTATGCGTGTTTCATACCCAGTAGTTCTGTTAATAATTATGATCATCTCTCAGTTATGTAAGATTAATTCCCTGAATTTAAAGAAATTAAATATGTGCAGAAATAGACTGTGGCCCACATGTATGTAACTTTTTGTAACCCTACACCGATGCTGTCCTGACACCACACACCATTACACATAACGTGTGGCATCAGGACACCCTTCCGATGCAGCGTTTAAACAGGCTACAGTGAAAGGGCAAGGAAGAGCCACAGTGCTGGCTCTTAGAATGGCCTTTTGCTGCCTCTAAAAGGAGCGGCATTTTGCTGCTCTTTTTGAGGTGGCAAAAGGGGGGATTAGGGACATGGCATGGGGTTGCCACAGCCCTGATCCACCACTTCCTGAGGCAGCTCTGTGCCACCTGTCTGCAGAGTCCCTAAATAGGTAATAAATTAATGGAGAGCCAGCATGGTGTAGTGATTTGAGCATTAGACTACAACTCTGGAGATCAGGGTTCAAATCCCTGTTCAACCATGGAAACCCACTGGGTGATCTTGAGAGAAACTCACATTCTCAGCCCCAGAAAACCCTGTGAAAGATTCACCTTAGGGCCACCATAAGATAAAAACAACTTGAAGATACATAATTAATTAATTGTGCAGATTTCATAGAGATTTCAACAAAATCAGTATTGTGTTTCCCTGTCAAGCAAACCATATATAATCAGCATGTGTTTCATAGACTACAGTAAAGCATTTGATTGTATAGATCACGAAAAACTATGGAATGCACACAAATACATGGGGTTCCACTATATCTGATAGTCCTGATGAGGAATCTGTACCAAGGACAAGAGGCCACCATCAGAACAGAATTTGGGGAAACAGAGTGGTTCCCAATAGGCAAAGAGGTCAGCAAGACTGTATCCTATTACCCTACTTGTTTAACTTATATGCTGAAAACTTCATAAGAAAAGCAGAATTAGAAACAGAAAAAGGAGGAGTTAAGATAGGAGGAAGCAACATTAACAACCTAAGATATATGGATGACACCATAATATTATCAGAAAACATCCAGGAACTGGAACAGTTAATAAGGAAGGTCAAAGGTGAAAGTGCAAAGGCAGGTCTGATGCTGAACATAAAGAAAACAAAAATAATGACCATAGAAGAAATACACAAATTTAATCTAGCCAATGAGGAAATTGAAATACTTAAAGAATTCCCATATCTAGGATCGAACATTGACCAAAATGGAAACTGCAGTCAAGAAATAAGAAGAAGACTAGGAATGGGAAGGGATGCTATGAAAGAACTGGAAAAGATACTGAAGAGCAAAGACATATAACTGAGCACTAAAGTCAGAATTGTTCAGGACATTGTATTCCCAATTACCATGTACAGATGCGATAGCGGGACAGTGAGAGAAGCAGAGAGAAAGAAAATAAACTCATTTGAAATGTGGTGCTGGAAAAGAGTATTTGGGATACCATGGACAGCCAAGAAGACAAACAAATGGGTTCTTGAACAGGTCAGACCAGGGCTTTCCTTGGAAGCAAAGATGATCATGTTGAGACTATCATACTTTGGCTACATAATGGGAAGGAATGGATCACTAGAAAAAACAATAATGCTAGGAAAGGCAGAGGGTAGAAGAAATAGAGGAAGACCACAAACCAGATGGATAGACTAGTTCAGTGGGATTATGGGCAAGGGCTTGCAGGATTTGGACAAGGCAATAGAAGATAGGGATTCTTGGAGATGTCTCATCCAAAGGGTTGGCTGCAGCCAACTAGACAGCAGCTAATCACACACACACACACACACACACACACACACTTTCAGTTAATGGATGCTCAGTTAAAGCATAACTCATATTTTCTCTGCTTTTATTCCCACTGTGATTTAGCCTTTTGATTGAAATTTCAGATATATATGGTGTCACAGATTCAAAAGACACAGAAGAGAATTCCTGCTGTCTGATAGGCTTTCAGGACTTTCCATTCTGCTTGGGAATCTCTGATACAGACACACAGGCATGCTATTTGCATTTGTATGTGTTTTAAAACACAGTAAAGACATATAGGGAGTTTATCACATGGGAAAAATTAGAAATTTAAACTGGTCAGAACCCATTGTTATCCAGCGTACTAGGCACAGTTGCACAAATGGTTTTCACATGACACTGTACACAAACTGCTTAGAGTCCAAACAGAAAGGGACATGAATCAGGGAATAATTATTTTCAGGAAATACTGTGTTTTTATTTCCATTTCATTCATGAATTCACTTTCTTTGCACAATTGCTGTAGTGTGAAAGCCATTTGTGGGATTCTCCCAATTTTTATGCTTGTCGCCAGATTTTCCCATGATTCCTTAGGGATAATAGGCAGGCTCTTAAAGGAACATCTTTTCAGACAAAGGCAGAAGCACACAGACACACAAGAGAAAATGCTTGCTTCTCCCTCCCCCACCTCTCTGTGTGTGGATGTCTCTCCTCCTCTAGCCAGGGCTCTTAAAAGAGCAACTGATGCAAGGGCAGAGGGAGAGGGAGAGGGAGATTGAATGAATGAATGAATGAATGAATGAATGGCTCCTGGTCTGAAATAGTAGCAATTCCCAAACTGTCCCCTTTAAGGGATTTTGGACTTTCGTTCTCAGAAACCCAGATTATTGGTCAACATGATTGAGGCTTCTGGGAGCTGAAGTCCAAAATCCCTTATAGGGGACAGCCTTCCCTCCTGCTGGTTCAGACCGGGAGGCAAGCATTGAGTCCCACTCTGGAAGAAAAAGAGTGAGTTGCATGAGCAGTCAAATGCAAAAAGCAAGAGAAGGTGCAGTCCAAGGTTGAGGGAAGTGAAGCATACCGATGGGGGGGGGGGTTAAGAAAGAAGGAAGAGTGAGTGGCAAGAGCAGTTACCATTCATTAATTCACTCTCCTCTCTCTCTCTCTCTCTCTCTCTCTGCCCTTGTTGTGGTCATTTGCATAGTAAAGCAGCTTCATTTATATACTGCTTCATAACATGCTATGCAGTGTCTAAGCAGTTTACAACTGTAAGCTCATTGCCCCCCAACAGCTGGGTATTCATTTTAGCTACCTCGGAAGATGCAGGCCTGAGTGAAGCCTGAGCCCTGGCTAGTACTGAACTTGCAACCTTGTGGTTTATGAGTAAGTGGCTGCAGCACAGGCATTTAACCACTGTGCCACCAGGGTTCCTTTGCATATTTGCTTGCTTTTGTGGAATACACACACTTTAATCATTATCAGGTTGGAGGCATATTTGGTCCTGCCATATGAAGGCCATTCCCACATTTGCATGCAAGTGCAGGTAATCATGGATTCTGCATGGGATAACAACACTTTGCATGTGAAAACCATTTGCACAATTGTGAGTTAATCATGGATTCTTACCATTTAAACTTTCCAATTTCCCCCCTTGTGAGAAACTCCTAGGTCTTATGTTGGAATAAAAAGATTCAGACCAGGTAGAGCAAGTTCCTCAACATAATTCCCTTCTCTGGCAATGATTTCAGTCTATTCTGTTTGTACAGATAGTCTTACAGCTAAATTTGATCTGGGTCAACCTTTGTATATAGAAGAAAATGAGTAGTTTATACTCCTCTGTGTATTGCTCACCCACACACTTCACTTACAAAGCTTAATTGGCAAAGCCTTTTTGGAAATAAAGTGAATTGCGCCCTGAAGTCATAAATAAGACCATGCATATGTAGATATCACACTCTGGAAAGTATGTATTGACACTGCAGGCTCACTTAAGGAAATGTTTTAAATGATCAGTGTTGAAATTATTCAAAAGTCAGCAAGCAGAATAAATTGATTAGACAAAATGTTTTCATTGACCAACCATTTCTGGGGGTGACAAAAGCCTACACAATGTTGAACTGTTTTCCATTCTAATTCCCAGCAGAGATGAGAACATAAGGAAACAAATACATAGAAAACAAAACATATCAGTGTGTATTTCTGTTTCTACTTGTCTTCTAGATTTCTAACTGACAAATATAATTCAATGTTTAAATACAGATAATCTACACTACAGGGCTCAATTCAGTTCTCTCACAGCCTTAATTAAGCATCAGGGATCATTTCCAACCAGGGTCATCTCAGACACAGATCAAGGTTATTATGGAAAGGCAGCAAATGATTTGGAGCACACTGTGCTTTTTGTTTTATTGTATTTTATTGTATTTTTACTGTCAGTGATGACAAGAATAATATACATACATACTACATATTACGTCCCTGTAGCAGCATCAATTAATCTTCACTATTTATCCCACCAACTGGCTCTCTGCTTCCAAATAGTAATATGAATTTAGAGTTTCCAATTTAACTAAAATTCTCAGTTAAAAAGTGGCTGTTATTTTATTTCTGAATGAAGCACTGTGCCTTCAACTCAGAGCCAGAATTAAACTAGCACAGCCATCACTATGGTTACATCTACATTCCTGAAATAATCCAGTCTGACACCACTTTAACTGCTATGGCTCTATGCTATGGAATCCTGGAAACTGTAGTGTGTTGTGGCACCAGGGCTTTCTGACAGAGATGGCTAAATGTCTCACAAAATAGTTACAGTTCCTAAAATTTGATATCATTGAGCCATGACAGTCAAAGTGGTGTCAAACTGGATTATTTCTGCAGTGTGGATGCAGCCTATGTCTTCATGCCAACAAACATGTTGGTTTGCTGTCTGGCAGCTACTATTAAAGTAAATATTTCTATAACAATAAAAACAGTAATTGATATTTTATAAATGATTGCTATGGTAACAATATAACAATATGTAACAAACATAGTACTGGTTGAACATCCTTAATCTGAAAATCCTAAATCCTAAATGCTCCAAAATCCAGCTTTTTTCATGATGTCTGAGGTAGTAATGACTTTGCTTTCTGTGGTTCATGCACAAAATTATTTAACATATTGTGTAAAATTATCTTTATGCTATGTGTATAAGGTTTATATGAAACATAAATGGATTTTATGTTTAGACATGGGTCCCATCTCCAAGAAATCCCATTATGTATATGCAAATATTCCAAAATCTGGGGAAATCCAGTATCACAAGCACTTCTGTCCCAAGCATTTTGGATAAGGGATACTCAACCTGTATCAATAGCCCAGGGAACTACCTAGTGAGCACAGATATAGAGACACAGGCATGAATGGATTTCCGCAACATAAACTACAAATATACATGGAAAACAACTATAATCTGCAACTGCTTGCAAAAATGCAGCCTGTGGTTGTTGACAAATCTGTAATTTCTTATAAACAACATTCTCTGATTGCTGACAAATGAGGACAAAATTATCTACTTTGATGTTTGTTTTGATGTTTTGAAATGCTGTACGCCACCCCGATTGCCTAGCAGAGGGGCGGGATATAAATTATTATTATTATTATTATTATTATTATTATTATTATTATATGCATCTGCTTTTGAAAATGTAACCTCTAATTGCTGACAAATCTGTAACATCTAATAGAAAACTCTTTTGAGGCCTGTG